CTATGAGTCCTACTAGCATAGGTCGAGTAGCTGCTTTGCTTAGGCTATCGGTAGAATCATGTATTGGAACTGATGACGCAAGTTGTATATTCCACTACAGCGCATGCTAGTCTAACATTAAAGAGAGAAGAGAGAAGGGGTCTGATCTATCTTCCATCTGACTTTTTTTATTTCTGATGATGCCCTCGCACTGCACCCCGTCATGTCCCTATATCTCAAACTCGACGCTACGAAGTCAGATTCTAAGACACATAGGGGATGGTACAGAGTTGTTACAATTGATACTCTTAGGAGCACACAACATTCAATTTGATTCCACAACTTTTCCTATGGCACCTATCCAATCTCCATGGGTTGGTTATGATGATATTCGCCTCACTACCATGATCATCTAACTCCACATTCTAAAGGGGCTACATAAGATAAAGTTAAAAACATGTTAATCTCAAAACCACAAGCCATAGAGAAAGCTCCCCCAAAAATGTGTACATGAAATGATTGAATCACTTGAATAGATACCAATTAAAGAAAGTCCTGTTGAAAACCAGCACATTGATTATGAAATCAATTAGGGAGCAAGTCCTATAGCATGGGCAAAGAATAAGAAATTAATATAAACATGCAATGGGATCCTACAAATATGGTAATGCTATATGATGCATAGAGTATACCAAGTGTAAGCATCAAGTTAAGCACACGTTACCTTAGCATGGGGTAGGACAACTTCGATACATGATCCTTTCCCTATTTGACATTAACTTGACCCACCATGATGTACCCCAATGTGTAGACCTCATTGTAAGCCAAGTCTCCAAATTCGTCAATGTTGTCACACCCCCCAAAAAAATTGGATTTTGAGATGTGGTTGTGGAACAAAATGAAGCAACAATGTTTTCAGCCTTTTAAAATTTTGCCAATATGTTAATAGGTTGAATTTTTTCTTCAGAAAAATATTATTTTCTAAACAAAATTATATGATGTCAAAAGTTTGTTGCACTCATGCCTAGTGTAATTTATTTGAGTTAGTTTTGCTTAAAATCGTTCTATATACTGTTCTGAAATTCTGTCAAAAGGAAAATAGGTTCTCTTTGATTTCTGCTGCAAAGCTCTTTTCGGCCCGAGATCCTCGCAGTTCCTGGACTCGGCCCGTTCCTTTTCTCCTTTCCTCAGATTAAGCCGCGCTCTCATCTCGTTTTGGCTGAAACCCACCTGTTGGCCAAGCCGCAAAAAGTCAAAAACCGCAGAGGCCGAACTCAAATTTGAGTTCGACTCCTGGTCGCGACACCGATTCGATTCGTGATCTGCACGCACGCACAAGGATCCAACATGATGACCGTGTTTAGAACCGGGACGCTTAATCGCACGCCGAAGCCGCGTTTTGGGAATCACCTAGCGTAGTTCATTTTCTCACGTTCCACGTCGCGAGTGCCAGACATGTGTTCGTCGCGGTGCGTTCAGCAGGATTATTCCTCTTCTCGCTCAATCGCGATCCAACGCCGTCCCAAACACGGCCTATATCCTGTCCGGCGCCAAGCCGGAGGCTGCATCGCGTGCACCAAATCGCGCAAGCACGGGCCTGCGCCGCCTTGCATTGGATGCGAAGCGATCACGTGGATTGTTTGGCATCGTCCAATTTGATCAGATTGAGAGGAGGCTATCAACTGGCTCAATGGAGAAGATTACCGTGAACCTGTCCAGCCGAACAAGACAGCATGGAATAATCCTCGCGGAATTCAACAATATATAGGCCTATGTTGACATTTAAATTAGACCCATGCTAGTTTAAAATCGGGCTATGTTAGTATTAGCCTAATTTAAAAGAAAACTCTAAGAAACAACAAGAAAATAGCAACATATCGGTTTCTAACGGGATAAGATCATGCTCACTCGATATAAAATATGGGGTACACGGTATCTAACATTCAATTGACGAAAATAAATTTACTACCTCTCCTTTGCCTCACCTTTTCAACCCCACGTTGTTATTTATCTCTTGACTCTTACCCGAGATTATACTTGCTGGCCGACATAGAGCAACCCGCCGTTGGGGTTGGGGTCTGTCTCGGGCAAGAATCGACGATTTCTTTGCTAGTTTGTCCGAAAAATACTATTCTTCATCACATAAGCATGATTTATTATCCTTTGTTGATTTACTTGTAAAACTAACTGCTCTTCACTACAAAAGCATGGTAGTTATATGCTGTGTTCTTGAATCCGTAGTGACTCGAACTATCTAGCTATTGCTAGTGTGTGGCCGATCTTTTGTATCAATGGCCTCGTTTTGTGCTCGTAGACCATCAGCCCGGCTAGGCCCATCTGTGCCGTTTACAACCATTGACCGATCAGAGAATGTATCTCGCAGCAATCGGCCGTTTGGGAATTGTAGGAGGAATGCAGAGTGGCTCACTGGGTTGATGCACGCTCTGCTGAATGCTCAATCGGCAGCATTATAATCCTTGTCTAACTATTGGCTCATATGATACTTCGGATCTACGCCATAACTACTGCAATGCACATTTAAGAAATCAACACGACCATTAAACTGAGATATTACTGCACATAACAGGTCACCCAAAGGTAAAAATGCCCGACGAAGTGAACACAGAGATGTATTTACATTCAGTTGGTTTCCAAGAAGCACTACCGGAATACCCAGGTTTGCCGTGTGTCCACGGCACATGACGAAGCCCAAAAAAACACTCGGCAAATGCTATGCCGAGTGTTACACTCGATAAACGGCACTCAGCGTACACAGTGACGGCAAAAGTTTATTTGCCGAGTGTTTTTTATCGGGTATTCGGCAAAGACGTTGCCGAATGCTGAAACCAACACTCAGCAAAAAAAAGTAACGTGACGGTGCGGAGACGGTCACGGCGTGTTTGCCGAGTGTCTAACAGCCTCGGCACTCGGCAAATATGACCTTGTTTGCCGAGTGTCCGGCCCTGACACTCGGCAAATATGTCCGTCTTTGCCGAGTGTCCAGGCCCTGACACTCGGCAGATATTTTTGTGAAAATAAAAAAAGCCCGGCGCCCGCGTGCCCCGGCTGACCTGCGTTGCCCCGCCCGCCACGGCCGCCGGAGTGTCGCGCCGCCCGCCAGCGCCACGCACCGCCGGAGGAATCGCTACCCCGCCCGTCTCCCGTGCCCGGCCGACCACGCGCTTGTCGCCCGCCCACAGCGCCCGGAGTGCCGCGCCACCGCCGCCCGTCGCCCGTGCCCGAGCCGACCTCGCCCCCCACCACGGGCGCCGGAGTGCCGTGCCGCCCGCCCGTCGCCCGTGTGCCCTGGCCAACCCGCGCCCCCACCCACCACGGCCGCCGGAATGGATAAGGAGATAGAGAGGGGGATAGGGAAGGGATAAGAGAGGAGGGATCCGGGGAGAGGAGTTTTGGCCAATGAGAGAGCTCCATTTTGGAAACACGGATCGCTGACGTGGTTAGGGGGTTTGCCGAGTGTCCCAGGTCTGACACTTGGCAAACCGCAGATTTGCCGAGTGCCAGACAAGGGGCACTCAGCAAACCTATTTTTTTCCATTTTCCTTCTTCTCCTTCTTTTCCATAACGTGTTTTATCTAAATTTGTTCTTATGTACTTTGAAAATACCTTGTTAAATTCACTCAACAATATATATTTGATTTTTCTAGGAATATTATTCCATTATTTTATGCAATTACAGCTCAAATTTAAGTTATATCAATTAAAATTCTATAATTGCACTTAATAAATTAAAATTATCAAACAGATCCAAAAATTTACCAAAATTTCACATGTAACAATCTATGTTCTCTATTACCTATAAAAAAGTTTTGAAGTCAAACTCCAATTCAACCGTCACTTTAACTCCAAATCTTACCGAATCCTTCTTAACGCTACAATTCTTCTTCGGAGATGCTTCGGTTTGTAAGCATCGTACGTGAAAAATTATGTGAAACCTTCTCAATTTTTTACCACAGCCTCCACGTATGATATCATGAGATCTTGACAAATCTCATGATTTTCATATTTCATTTGCTTTTTTTAGAATTTAAAAACCATTCGGCCACACGTTTGTGGTCGTGTTTTCTGAACAAGATGTTCAAAATTTCTTTTCATTTCCTGGGTAAGGCCTCACACTGGACTCAATAACATGCATATCATTTTTCTACCCATTTTATTCTATTATTTGAATCACTTGCAGTTCAAATTTGACTTATACCAAAAAAATTCCTTGAAATGCAATTAATTAATTAAATATAGCAAACAGATCCAGAAATATACCAAATCTTAACATGGTGTACCACATGTTGTATGTGGAGAGTAGAAAAAGTTTCAAGGTCAGAAGAGAAAAAAAAAACTTATTTATTTGTCGATTGCCAAAAAACACTCGGCAAACTTTTTCTTTGCCGAGTGCAAAAAAAAAACACTCGATAAACTTATTTCTTTGACGAGTGCCACTAACAGACACTCGGCAAACTCCTAACGGCCGGCACACTAACTGACGGATGTCCACGTGACGGTTTGTTACCGAGTTTCTTTGTTTTGCCGAGTGTTTTTTCCTAATTTGCCGAGTGCTTTTTTCAGCACTCGGCAAAGAGTTTGTTTGCCGAGTGCCATTATTTTACCGAGTGTGTTTTTTGTAGCACTCGACAAAGAGCTTGTTTGCCAAGTATCCGATAGAATACACTCGACAAATATTTTTACACTCGACAAATCTGTTGTTTCCAATAGGGAAGCAAACCAAGCATCACCTGAAGAAAAAGGACCCGCTACGCTACTCACTCAACGCTGCAATGGAAAACTTCTCCAACGACGAAAACCTTGTCCGCGTTTTCGCGTGCACTTTGTTGACGTTTTTATTTTGTCCGATTCATTACCCACGGGTCCACAAGCTCCATGGGCGGCCTTTTGACTCTTGATGAAAGCTCGAAATCCGCCTGGTCCGGGCTCCACTTGCCCACGTGCACCACCGTCGTTGACCCGTCCTGCCGGCGGCTGCAATGCTGAGCTCGATCCCGTCTCACTCAAATGGTCGACACGTCCCTCCCCGCCGCGTCGTGCGCCTCCCTGCTCACCTGGAATGTCTGGGTGGTATACCCCGACGACCACGTGTAGGGGTAGTTCGACGACGAGGTCACGTCAGAGCTAGTGACCCCGCTGTGCGACATGTACGTCTGCGTCTCGTCCTCCTCCCCGCCGGCGAGCGGCACAGGCCACATGAACACGGGCTTGGACATGGGCACGGGGAGCGGTGGCACGGACCGCGTCTGCAGGTTCTGCAAGATGGCCTGCGCCTTGGGCCGCTGCCGCGGGTTCGGGTGGCTGCACGCCAGGCCCAGCAGCAGCAGCCGCTCGGCCTCCTCCTCGTCGTACCCGCCGGCGAGCCGCGGGTCCACGGCCTCCAGGACGCGGCCGGCGCCGTGGAGCTTCCACACCCACTCCAGCAGCTGGCTGCACCCGGCCGGGTTGCTGCAGGAGATGCGGCGGCCGCAGACGATCTCCAGGATGACGGCGCCGAAGCCGAACACGTCCGACTCGCGCGTGGCCCGCCCCGTGTGGAAGCACTCAGGCGCGATGTAGCCGAGCGTGCCCGGCACGCCGATCTTGTCCGTGTAGGAGGTCTTGTCGGACTCGAGCGCGCGCGCCAGGCCGAAGTCGCCGAGCCGGGCCTGGAACGACGAGTCCAGCATGATGTTGGACGGCTTGATGTCGCGGTGGATCACCGTCTGCTCGAACTCGTGGTGGAGGTAGTTGAGCGCCGACGCCACGCCGGCGACGACGTTGTAGCGCTGCTTCCAGTCCAGCGTCGGCGCGTCCTTGCCGCCGAAGAGGTGCCTGTCGAGGCTGCCGTGTGGCATGTAGTCGTACACCAGCAGCAGCACGCCGTCCTGATGGCACCAGCCTGCAACAAAACGTGGCATTCCAATTTCAGATTACTTCGTTGGGTTTCAGAAGCTTGTTTTACTCATTTCGATTTCGAAACGTGAAGGATGGAAATGAACTAAAACGTATTTATTTCCCCCTTCCGCGATTGTGCTTCTGTGGTTGTTCAGCATTTCCAGGTCACTAGAGTCGGTGAGTGTTTGCTTGGCATATTGTTCAACAACTACCAAATATTTTTTCTCGAGCAAGTGGGAAGCAAGCCAGGTCAAAATTTGTGTTGTCAAAATGATATCCGGCCGGGTACACTGCTCACGATCCAACCGTGATCACAGAGCCCAAACAAAAATAATATACAGCCAAAACCATCACCACAAACTAGTCCTAGTTTGATTTTTGTGACTAGGCGCCAACTGGGCCGTACGATTCTAAGCATTCTTTATTCTTAATATAACGAGAGCATGTTTCGGTTGGCTTGAAATCGTATAAACGTAGACTAATGAGGGTTGAATAGTCGCTCTCTGGATAGCTATCTCTCCATTGGTGCCGTACGAAAAATCTGACATTTTACAGGTTGCGTTTGACATATCCGACAGCCTGGAAGCATTTCATTTCCAACATTTCCATTGACGCAACCATCCAGGAAATGGTTGTTGAGGATGTAACAACGACAGGGATAAAGCGCTGCAATTTACGACTAAGCTGTTGTCTCTAATTCTCTATTCCGGGTACGACCTGAACCCCGGGGAAAGCATCTCGCTGAACCGTCCACAGCAAGAAATCAAAGCGGAGCTGTCTCTGTACCAAGCCCCGTGCTGATATTCTAGTTTGGATTGGCGTTTGCAGTGAAGTGCTTGGTGGAATATTAAATCAGATATTTTGTGAACTATCTATATCAAATAAATCCAACTAATTTTGACATTACTGTCGATAAGAACGGCCACGGCAGAGTAGACGAAGTTGATACTAATAAGAAGTTTATATAAGCAAAATATAATACGATGTATAATAATGTAATGAGCAGGAAAGGCAGGACAAAAGAGTTTCTTACCGACGAGCTTGACGAGATTCCGGTGGCGGAGGCGGTTGATGATGCTGAGCTCGGCGAGGAAGTCCTCCTGCCCCTTGGTGTTGGCGCCGGAGAACTGTTTCACGGCCACCTCCATGCTCTGGCCGTTGTCCCCGGGCACGGTGGCGCGGAACACCACGCCGTACCCGCCCTGCCCCAGCTTCATCTTGTCGTCGAAGCTGTTGGTCCCTTTCCTCAGCTCCTTGTAGTCGAACTCCTTGGGCACGCCCGGGATGCTCCTCAGGTCAATGGCGTTGTGGAACACTACCGAGCTCGGGTCGTCCCCGACCTGCTTCTTCCGCTTCTTCTTCATCAAGTAGAGGCCCGCGAGCAGCCCGAACGCCAGCGCGGCGGCGCACGGCACGCCGATGGCCAGCCCGAGCTTCCAGCCCGACAGCTTCTTGGGGACGCTTTCTCCGTGGAGCACTTCCACCGTCATGTTCCACATGAGCACGCAGTTGAGCTGGTAGTCCACGCCGGTGGACGCCGAGAAGCCGAAATAGCCCTTGTTGCTGAGGAGGTACTTGGAGAGGTCCAGCGACACGTTGAGCACAGCGGTGTCCGGCTTGATATTGTCCGCGGACATGTACACCCACACATGCCGCGTGGTGCCGTTGTAGTCGATCCAGACCATGTAGTCGCCGGAGCTACTACTGTCATTGGGAGCGAGCTGGATGCCGTAGGGAGCGAGCGGGATGGCGGAGATCGAGTGGACGCCGTTGAGGTCGAGCCCGACGTGGTTATCGTCGGGGTCGTAGGACTGCTTCACCGTGTCCAGCTCCACGGCCACGAACCCGTTGGTGGCGTTACCGTCGGTGGACGCGTTGGTGAGGCCGAGGTACTCGCCGTAGCTGCCGGGGGGCGGGCCATCGTTGCCGGACGCGACAACGAACGCAAACCCTTCGCCCTTGACGGACTTGTTCTGGCGGTAGAGATTGACCTTGAACACCGTGGAGAAGGACGCGACGTGGCGGCCGTCGGCGGTGGAGTTGGACGCGTTGGCGGCCCAGAGCACGAACGGCGTGGCGTAGAAGACGTGACCTGACTGGTTGACTAGGAAGCTCGTGGCGTTGTTGCCCGTGTCGGGGGTGATCTGCAGCGCGTTCTGGCTGACGCTGGCGTTGCTCGAGAGCGTCAGGTTGGCGGGGTTCTTGTCGAACCCGGGGAAGGAGAAGGTGGTGAAGTCCCTGCCGGCGACGGTGCTGGTGGACGTCGTGGCCTGGGCGAGCACCGCCGGGATGGAGCAGACGGCGACGCACGCGAGCAGCAGGAGGAGCGCGAGGCTCGTCGTGGTTGTGGCGCGGCCGCCACGGCGCCAAGGCCCCGTCGTCATGTGCTGGCCTGCAGCCTGCAGGAGGAAGAAGAGAAGAGTGGCAGAGGTGCAGAGCCGCAGGGGAAGAAGGGTGGTGTGTTGCGGAAGGACTGCGGAGATGGGGGTGCGCCGGGGACAAATGGGCAGTTTGGACTCCACGGTATAAATGGACACTTCTTCCTCCGTTTTGAACTGTATTTATGTGTTATTACCGATGCTTGCTTATCCAGATTCCTAAGCTTTCATATCATTTATTAGGGGCTTTCCCAAAGCTGCTTTTTTACTAGTAACCCCAAATAACACGTAGGATTGATAAAAAAAAAGTATGTGCTCTATACTTATTATAGTGGTTTGCAGAAGCTAAAAAGAGTGTTTGGGGAGAGAGAAGGTAATCCATGCTAAAAAAGAAGATGGAGAGAAAATAAAGGTGTTGTATGATGAAAGAAAAAGTTTTTTTACAAACCACAAGTAATAATTGTTTGCATTGTGTATATAGTAATCTCAACATTTACTAATCTATGTGTTAGCCTCCATTGGTCAACATTTGCTAATCTATGTGTTAGCCTCTATTAGTGGTGCGCACGACAACAGCAACAGTTGTATACAAAGCATTGTCAGACGCCGTTTTCACACTACCAGAGTACCAGTATATTTTAGCAGAGCTTAGGCCTTGATTAGATCACCTTCAAATTCCAAGTTTTTTCACTCTCTCTCCATCACATCAATTTTTGGACGTATACATGGAGCATTAAATGTAGGTAAAAAAAATAACTAATTACACAGTTTGGTTGTAAATCACGAGACGGATCTTTTGAGCCTAATTAATCCATGATCGGACAAAATTTGTAAAATACAAACGAAACGTGTTATGGTGTCCAAATTATAAAAATTTGCAATCTAAACAAGACTTTACCCATTTTCTTGTTATAATTCTAAAGCACAGCTATAGCCTACAGGTCCGGCATGTTACTTTATATAAAAGGGTAGTTTTGCTGAGCACAAGATTTGACCGTATAGTTTTAGCACTGATCTTTGAAAAACTACTCTTTGCGAATGGACTCTGAAAACCCCTGTCACTGACAAAATCTACAGCATGTTCAACTAGTTCTTACAGTAAGGTTGCTCTCAGGAGTAAAACGTACTGTACCTTAAGACGCATACTGATTGATCAGGTTAGGTCACCGCATACACCTGTAAACCTAGGGCATATTTGGAACAAAGGAATGCAAAATAGAGAAAAGGAAAAAACCGCAGGAATGGGGTGTAGGTGTTGTGGAAAAACAGAGGAATAAGAAAACATAGGAAAGATATAGATAGGGGTGTTTGGATCGTAGGAATTATAACACAGGATTTTACAAATCAATTACGGCAACCGTGTGGATCCAGTTTAATTAAGTTGTGTCTGATGAAAAATATAAAATAAGGAGAACACATGGACTTGTTTATTAATTTGCTCAAGCCTTATCCGTGCGTCTAGCTGCCGTGCCGCTGTTCATCTTCCAATCGCCATTCTTTCTGCCTTTCTGGTCGCTTGGTTGGACGGCCGATGCTCCAGCCTCCGCGCGCCGCGCTGCAACACAACGACGTCCTCCGCCCGCGCGCTGCCCTGCACGCCGCTAGCTGCGTGCACCGCCTCCGACTGCTTAGCCACAGCCGTCGCACTTCCTACACATTTGTTCCGAGCGATGCAGGTGATGCTGATTCGTTCCAAGGTGGTTGCTTGCAGTGCTGCGAAAGAGGAAAATTGTAGGGGCAAAGATTGGTTTTAGTGCGCTAAGCGTGAGCGCAAGCACCGTAGGAAATTTTCCCTTGATCTGACCTCATTTTTTCTTTCCTCCAAAAGTACAAGCTTCGTTGCCGTTCCTCTGGAAAGGTTCGTGCCGCTTTCTTCGTTCCAAACGCGCGCAGACGATCCTTTCCTCCGGAACTCAATCCTTCACTTTTCCTCCGTTTTTCCTTCGTTCCAAACGGGGCCTTATCATATTTCAGATTATCCATTGCTCATCAGAAGCATCAGCCCGAATTCCACGATGCTTCTTGTTCTCTTAGCGCGTGTTAGGGTTTATTTGGCAATTAGTGTTCAATCATGGACTAATTAGGCTCAAAACATTCGTCTCGTAATTTCCAACCAAACTGTGCAATTAGTTTTTTTCGTCTACATTTAATGCTCCATGCACGTATCGTAAGATTCGATGTGATGGCTACTGTAGCAATTTCGTTTTTATTTAGCAATTAGTGTTCAATCATGGACTAATTAGGCTCAAAACGTTCGTCTCGCAATTTTCAACCAAACTGTGCAATTAGTTTTTTTCATCTACATTTAATGCTCCATACACGTATCGTAAGATTCGACGTGATAACTACTGTAGCACTTTTTTGGGAATTTGGATGGGAACTAAACACGCCGTTATACAAATGGACTCTCTGAAATTATTTCCGTTCTCCTGCATGACAGCAAAAGAACAATTTAAAAGTGTGTCAACTGTGTAATAAGAATTCAGTGCCAACTCATACTTGCGTAGGTTGTTTTAAATTAGTCTGCTCAAGCAAATTTCCCCATACTAACAAGCAATCCCCTCAAATCAGGAAGATTGATTACGTCAAGATGCGTCCTATTCGTTTGGCTTATAAGCCGTACTTTTTCAGCCAACGAACAATATTTTTCTCTCCCAACAAATCAGCAAATAGCTATAATCAGACAGTATAAACCTTTTGTTCCCCCAAAGTGGGAACTGAATTTCACAACAGACACCAGCTTGCAGGTCAATTTACCTTACTAGAAGGATCTTCCCTTTTGTCTTGTGTTCAAAAACATAAACCAGCATTTTTAGGCTAATATTATAGTAACATCATATATTCAGATCCAGCTGATCTCACCCAATGCAGGATGAGACCGATTGAACAAAAGCTTCCACCATAAGTCCAACTTAAAGTTTCTAGGGAATTATGATACGAACTTGGTAAGCAGGAGAACCACTAGAACAAGTAGAACATATTCAATTAAGCAGTAGGAGAACCACTAGAAGCCCAATTGTAATCTTCTTTATTTTCTTTGTTTCCTTTTTGGTTTGCTAGTCCTCTCTGGTGAAACTGTCCTTTTAATAAAGCAGTAGAGGATCACCCCCTCCTGATTCCAGAAAAAAGGTAGAATATATTTTAAGTACTTTCTGTACTAATGAAATTCTTAAACGACAAGCGGCGCATTAAACTGCTGTTGATCAAGTGCTTCAGTCATATAGTATTTATGGCATTAACAGTAAAAGTACAAAACTTAAGCAATCCTGTCAAATGTCACCATCCAGTCATTTTGTTTGAAGGCCATTTTTATAGTGCTAGTGCCCCTGCTTTTGAAGGTCGATTGTGAATTTGTGATTTTGCCCTTTGCGTTTTCAAACCCAAAGCATTGTTGGAAATATCACAGTTGGAAAAATGAGGGAAAATCACATTTTTCTCTTCAAAAGAAGGGGCACCAACACCATTGTCCCAACAAATAAAGTTACTTAAGGTTGTAGATTGTCATTTCTTTTGAAAAGGTATATGAATACTGCCGAGTAGAAGGATAAAAGCGAACACAGGAGCAAGCATGTGCGTTCAAACATTCAACGAATCAACGTTGACTAGGAAAAAATATTGACGGTACATTGATGTAAGAGCTACCAGCGTAAGCAAAATTGTGTCAGTATCACGATTCTAGCACAAAAAAGGCAGCGTTCACACCTTGCATGGCCCAACAGCACTTTGGAGGGTGCATAACCTAATGTCTCAATGTAAAAGTAGTTATCAGCGGATCATCAAATCCTATTGTGTAACAGCAAGCAAGTAGCCAATTTGCGCTGTACGCCACCTAATGTCTCAGAAGGAGACAATGAGTGTAGCCAGGAACCACAGAGCAGCTGGGTTTGGGTCCAGCGGCCAATAGAAGGGCTGTTCTGTTTTTTGTAAATGTCTGGAAATTCTGATTATATAAAAGTTGATGTCCATTTCTAGTTAAACGAGTACAGAAGGCTGAAGGAATCAAAGTCGCAAAGACTTGGTTAGTCAAAGGCTGAATGTGCGCGACCAACCTCAGCAGGTTACGGGTAGAGATAAGATAAACATGCACTGGCAGTGACACTAACCACAGAATTAAAACTGATTTCAGAATGACGTTTGATAGCTAAAAGAGTAAAAAGTCTATAATACCCTTATTTTTTTCCTTTTTCTTTTATTTTCTTTTTCCGTTCCGGTGCCTATTTTTCTCCTCCGTACCCTCCCCTTTATTCTTTCTCTCTCCTCATCTTCCCCAACCGCTCGCCTCCCGCATCGCGCAGACGCGAGAGTCGCAACCGCGTCGCCCTCGCACCCGGCCATCCTCGGAGATCCGATGGTCCAGCAACCCCGTGGGCAGCGGCCCTGTGTGTGGCGCTCGGCTGCCTGGCGGCCTTGTGCTCGGGCACCCAACGGCCCTGTGCGACCCCGCACCCGGCACCCACGCGTTCAAGCGCTTGGAGCTCCGACGAGCCACACCCGGACGGCCGCCCCGGCGACTGCGCGCGCGGCCGGGCGCCTGGGCACCCTCCCCGCATGCGTCTCCCTGAGGTCAGGGGCAGACTCGACCTCCACGCGCTGGGGTCCGATGGGAGCCGGGAGAAGCTCCATTTTTTAGCTCCACACTACGTCTGTGAGAGCACATTTTGCGGAGCTCCATGGGTGAATTAGTTGAGGAAAGTGGCGTTTGGCAACAGGAACTGAAAAATGGCTCCGGGAGCCGCTTGTGAATCCATACCAAACGGCCCCTAAGCGCGCCCTAGGGCCGTACAAGCGGATCTCTACTGGAGTTCGGGGAAAACAGTCGTCATCCGTTCGTTTGATCGTATCAACCATGCTTATCAGTCATGATCACAGTAAAACAGTATCAGCCGGCTTATAAGCCACAGAAACGATCGAGCGATCAGGGTCAGTAAGTTTGCAACCGTCCATCCGCATCCGAAGGGAGCACGTTTTTTTCACAGACGTGGACACGCCCAGCGCCTTCCGAGGCCCGCGGCTCTCTTACTCAGTAATATCAAAAGGAGCACGGTTGGGTTTGGTCTAAGAAAGTACAAGCATCTACTACTACGTGCACGTTCAAAAGATGGAGAGTAAACAAAGATGCCTCTGTCGGACGCTCGCTTGATAGCGGTTGAGCGCAGACAGCTCCTCCGCATCTCCGGTAAATTCTGTCATATACCACCATAGCCTGTAGCTGTTGTTGGGACCCGGAAGGCAGGGTGGAGAGAGAGTATTTTCGGTCCCAAAATATGTGATGTTTTTGAATTTCACACATCTCATTTGACCGTTCATCGTATTAAATTTTTTTATATAAATATTATCTATTTTAGTATGACTTATTTTATCATTAGAGATATTTTAATAATAATCAAGCAAGATGTCTAAAAGTCAGGATACTTTAATAATAATCAAACAAGATGTATGAAAGTTAAAAAAGACTCACTTATTTTGGCACGAGGGAGTACGTCCGAACCTGATCCCCGGCTCCTCCGCATCTTCAGCGCTACTGTAATAATACTTTTAAAAAAAACAGTATTTTTCTCTAATAAAAAATCAAGCATCAGCGTCGGTCAAATTTCAGCGAAACAAACATGACATCGGTGGCTGGCTTCGCGGACAATCACTAGGCCCGCGCACCACCTGTGAGGCCTCAGTTTATTGGGCTCCAGACTACCCTGCTAAGGCTCCAAACTTAGGTGGACACGGGCTGGTAAACCCCATAACTTGGGCTCCGCTTCACATCCACTGATCAACTCCAACCACTCAATCGTGATGATGGTCTGCTGGGCGCCAGAGGCCCATGGAGGCATGATGGACTTCCTTCCTATTATCGAGGGCCTTATCCAAATTCCAACGATAGTCATCACGGCCCATCAAGGACGATAATGACGTGTATAACGATGAAGACGTGCCGTAATTTACTACTCATCACCGTGTGAGCGTGGAGCTAGTGTTTCTGGCTTTCTGCTGAGTGGCGTTTTCTGAGAATGGAAGTTCCAGCATCTCTAATCCTCAAGGGCAAGTGGCTTCTCGTGCAGTAGGTTACATTTCAGTATTCCACCTTGCAAGTGAGCTAGTCCTCCCTCCTGTCGAGTACAAGTTAGATTGTCACGAGACATGGTTCACAAATGCAAGTTCTTGCAGCTACACACACCTAAATTGGCAGTCACCTACTGGTTCAACTTCAACCAAACTCCTGCAATGTCTTTGTTAATGGCACACCACCACGTGCCGAAAGAACACGTGTAGCATATACTACTTTGTTATTAGTTTTGCATCAACAAACCTTTGGTCCGACGAACAACCCACCCACAACGAACCAACGGCAAACGCGGCGCATAGAGCTGGTGGCGGCGCGGAGGTCGGCGGCGCATGGAGCTCACGGCGACGCGGAGGTCTGGCGCGGGCATCTCGCCTGTGGATGGAGCGCAGCCGCGGTATGAGGCACGACTTTTGGCGAGGGCTCGCGGTGGCGCAGAGGTCGGCGGCGGCGCATGGAGCTTGCGGCACGGAGGTCCGGCGCGGGCATCTCGCCGGCGGGCGGAGCGCAACCGTGGCGGTGGCAGGAGGCGCGTCTCCAGGAGGGAGGTGTGCGGTGGCGACGCGGTCTGGGGCTTGCGGCGCGTAGCGCGGACGGGCGCGGGGCGTCCTGCCCGTCCGTCGGTCCGGACATTGAGCATTTTCGAAAAAAGATTTCCATAAGACATGGTTCACAAGTGCAAGTTCTAGCAGCGCTACACCTAAATTGGCAGTCACCTACTGATTCAACTTCGACCAAACTCCTGCAATGTCTTTGTTAATGGCACACCACCACGTGCCGAAAGAACACGTGTAGCATACACTTTGTTATTAGTTTGGCATCAATAAACCTTTGGTCCGACGAACAACAACCCACCCCCAACGAACGAACGGCAAACGTGGCGCCACCACCGCACGCGTCCCCCCGTGGCCACGCTAGCTTCTCCTCCCTTTTTCTCGTACGTCCCCGGCTCCGAGAAGGCGTGTCCCCTTCACACGGGGATGGGGACGACGCGCGCGGTCGTAGGTGAGCGGCCACCGGGACACGCGCGGTCGTGCCGGGCCGCGAGATTCCGGCGCAGCGCCTGCGAAGCCGCGCGCGCGACCGCGAGAGAGGAAATCCCGCGCGCGCGACGCGTCGTCGTCGCCTCGGCCTCTCCTCGAGCGCCGGGCGCCGTGTGTTCCAGCGTCGCCGCACCTAACCCCCTCCCACCCTTGTGACAGGTGACAGCTCCCGTCGCGCGAGCAAGCGAGCGGCCACGCTGGGGCGGGCGTTGCGGGCGCGACGGCGACCGTGGCGCGGTGGCGTGGTGACCTGGCCTGGTCCTGCCGATCGAGCCCGTCACCTCCGGCCAGATTTTCGGTTGAGACTAATAACGCAGATTTAGCGTCGGATTCGCCCGCCAATGGGCCTGAAAATTCTAGAATGGGCGTCAAATGTCAATTCTAGGGGGGAGTTTTCAGGTACCACTGCAGCACTGCTAGCTGGGCGGCAGACGCTTCTCTGTGTGTGCTTTGGTGTCGAGTTCGTTGAGCGGAATATACGTGACAGTGAGGGGCAGCGGCGAGCGATCGCACCAAAATATTCTGTTCACAGGTCCGGACAAAGGCGACCCCGCTGGAAAATCGCATCGCGTATCCGTACACACCACCACTTCATCAGATGCTAAGCGTGCTAGTTTATCCAGTTCGTTCGTGAGGCAAGGGAATCTAGGTTGTCTGCAACAGGGGGCTGGCGGTGCAAACAAACAAGCACGCTCCTGTTTCTCCGCACAAAACCACGTCCTCGTGTACCCAATGCCCAGCGATCTCGTGACAAATCCCCAATGGTTAGTACTAGTTAAACTGCGCTTAATTGGTCAGCCACCAAACTAACTTTCTGCTGCCAGATCGCTGGTAGCTTCAATACACCCCCTACTATACTTTTGTCAGAGCAGTGTACTCCTACTCCATTGTCCATTGACCACACGACCGGCCCAACTGCGGCACTATTCAATACGTAATGCAGACATGCAGTTACGTATGTACCGTGCTTGCCGGCACGTAAAAGCAAGGAGTGTATATATATACTCCTACTAGTAGTACATATACAAATACAAAGCAGCAGGGCGCAGGGCGCACGCATATACATGTCTGCTACTCACCCTGTCTACTGACTACTGCCCAAGTGCCCAGTGCATGGGGAGGGAAGGTTGGTCGACGATCGCCCAGCCAGTTACGCGGAAGGAGACGGCAGAGTGGCATGGCAGCGCACGAGCCCGATTCACATTTTACAGGGCCAGGTCACTGTCCCTGGCTTTTGCTTGTCCGTAATGCGCTCGCCCCGGCACCCTATCGCGTTAAACCCGTAAGCTAATCCTGTCATGTCCCGGGATCCCCCGTAACTTTCAGAAAAGGCCCGATTCAAACCTACCTTCCTGCCGTGTTCCCTTGGCCACGAGCGCGCTCTATATATAGGCGGCCTCTGGCTGGCCGGCCACTTGACCTGACCACCAGCACCACGCACGCATAGCTCACACGAGCCACAGGAACCGGACAGAGAGACATTGCCGGCTTGCCGCCCTCTGCGTGTCATACACTGATACACAAGATCAAGTTCCAGCTGCTGTGCGAGCGTGGCAATAATGCAAGCAAGCAGGAGCAGGATGGGTGCTTTGCATCACTCGCAGTCGCCGGAGAGCTACGTGAGGCTGCAGCAGGGCCGGCGGTGGCGGCGGGGGGCGAGGGGGTTCCGGCTGTGCCCGAGGAACCGGTTCTCCGTGCGGCGCCTGCGGGCCGAGCTGCTCACGTTCCTGGGCCTCGTCGGCCGCTACGTGCGCCTGCTCGTGCGGAAGCTGTCGACCACGAGAGGCGGCAGCGGCGGCTGCGCACGGAGCGGCAGCAGAAGGGTTCTCGTCGTGACCGGGACCGGGAGAGACAAGGCGCCGGCGGCCGCCGCCAGCAGAAAGCCTGGGCCGTTCATCGCGCGGTCCAACTCGTTCTACTCGCAGGCGATCGCCGATTGCCTCGAGTTCATCAAGCGGAACTCCGTGCCCGTCGAGGACTACGGCAGCGTCAGCGCCCGGAGGGAGCTGGGACACAAGATCGAAGAAGAAACGCTACCCGAATGGCGTGGCATGTATGCGTGTTCCCAACGGAGCCTAAAGATGTGAATCTGATACCTACACGTACCACACGGATGGATGTAATAGGGCGTTTGAAATTTAGAGTTGCAAATGTTGAACTTTTTTTGATGACATGTTCATTTGCGCACGCTACCACATTTTCCATCTCCCGCGTTTGATTAATATTTTGTTATTATTAGAGAGTAGCAGACCTTAAACCTTGATGATGACAGTGTTATTTCGGCGAGCAAGCGTTCAGGTCTCGGTGATTAAATTTGGGAGAAAAGGACGGGACTCGAATGATCGATGAATTTTCAAACTCAGTTTCGTTCAGCGGCGTGTAGAGAGGAGTGGTAGTACGATCGATGGTAGTACGATCGACGCTGGACTGGAGCCATTTCTTAATTTCCCCATGACCCGTGTGCGTTATTCTTTTCCTAAACAATAAGCAAGTGATGACGACGCGAGTGATCTTTGACGAAGCTTCTTAAAATTTTCGTTTATGTGTCCAGCTAAAAACGGGGTGGTTTCCGAGTTCCGACCAATGCAATTCCAGAAGTAAATAACAAAGTCTAGCCTGCCAGTACTCTGTTTTCTTATCGGTTTTCTTGAAATAAGTAAAGGATTGGTTGGAGTTTTGTGGATAACGCCGGTTTGTCATTGGTCTTAGCTACTCTGTATTGGACTAGTGGTCTTAGCTACTCTACTGCAGTATTGGTCCCTCGGCCTCGGGTGTATATATCACGATTCTAGTTGGCGATTTGGCGTGACTGCCATTGTATCGTTCCAAAAAAATTTGTACATGAAAGTTTTATTACCATGTTTCTCTATTTATGGTAACCGGTGCACACATGGTAAATATATGCAAACTAGTCTGATGGAAATGACTGTGGACATCGGTTGGGCCATAGGCAATAGATAAGCCCAGCATGGCTCGGAAGTGGATTACTGAAATCAACCAATGGGCCACGCGATAGTCTTGTTTATTCCAGTCCATTCGAACAAAACGCTGCATCCGCACCATCTCTGCGAACAGAAAGGGAAGCGGTCTCTTTGCTCCATCATCCATGAGCCAAAAGGTGGGCAATCCGCAGTCGGCTGCGTGTTCCTATGCGCGTGTCTGTGATTCTCCCATCTGTAACCAAAAGAGCATCATTAGAAGGCCCTCCTGACTCCTGATAGAAAAAAAATAAAGCAAATGCGCGTACCATTACCAAAATATAATAAAGGGCAAGACGGATCACAAAAACAATGAGCAGTATCTCCCGAGTGTCTCGAGCCATACCATGGAAGCTTCTCGTTGCTACGTTTGTTGTTGAATTTCCATGCGAAAGACGAATGAAAAGCACCACTGCTCTCACCATCGATGCCTGGAAAACAAAGTTGTTAAAATCTCAATTTACAATGCGATTTTATAATTGTATGATCTTCGAGCATCTCCACTAACACTACCTATCCCACTACCTATCCCCAATTTAGTTAGTGGAAGACAAAATAATCCAAAGACTACCTACTACACCCTCAGATTTATTGGCTACCCAAACCCTCCCTTCCACTTTCCATTCTTATTGGGCAAACAGGTGACTACCCAAATATTTTTCCCACCATGCGCTCAATCTTCTCCACCATCGGCCTGCAGGGAGCCCGACGCTGCTCTTCTTTGCTGCGGTCGCCGGTTCACGGCTGCTCCTCGTCCTCTTCGACAGAAGCCCGCCTCCTACTCCCCATCTGTTCTTCATCGGCGAGGCCGCCGCCTCTCAACCGGCGAAGCCTCCTCCTCCTCGCTGGTGCCACTCGACGGCCCCCCACCGTTGCCCCCACCAACGGCCCCCCACCCACGGTCCTTGACTGCCGGGGCTGCCTCCTCCCGACGATCCTTGATCGGCGGGGTCGTCTCCTCCCCACCGGCCGACGTCGTCGCATCCTCCCCACTGGCCGCGTCGCCACATCCTCCTTGACCCTCGAGGCCTCGACCGGCACCCCTGAGCATGACCCTCCATCTCTATGTCGACATGGTTGAGTTCATCAATGACGATGAGTGGATACATCTGGGTCCCACATGTCATTTCTAGTAGAATGGATTTGGATGGTCTGATTTATGTAGTATTGTTGGAGACAACAACAAAATATGGGAAGTATGGAAATGGGTGGCTAAGTATGTAGTCTGTTGTAGACAGTATTGCTAGAGATGCTCTTATAAGAACAGTCACACTGATTCATTGCCGGGGGCTGGACCTTGATGATGTGATCCTCGAAAACCTGCCGGCCATGAGAACAAACTTTTCCCATCAAATACCTGGGCCTTCCGTTAAGCCTCACAGGGGTGAAAAAAAAGTTGAATTTCTACCCCTCTTGGACAAATCTAGGGGGAAGCTTATCTTCATGATTGACAAGTTGGTCGTGGCTCGGCTGTTGGACATCGTGGTCAGGACGACCACCTCCAAAGTAATATATGTCTCTGTCGACAAAGGGCTTCAAGACTGTCTCAAACCTATTACAAATAGGAAGTGGTAGAATAAACAGTCATGATAAATGCACTTATGGTATGAACTAGATTGTTTGAATTCCACATTAAAACTTGAATTCTATTCTAATTGCTCAACTTTTGTGAAGACTCATGCAATAGTGATGTTGCAATCATCACAGTAGAAGCATCATTTTTTGTAATAGTATAACACACGTTCATATTTATATTATTATAGGATTATTTATTTTTTGGTGCAACACACGCATACTTATCTAGTAGTACTTAAAAAATACCAATCGCTTTCATCAAAAACTTTTGTGCATTGCCATGAGATCCTCCTATGCATGAACCACGCCATGGGGAGAGCAAGTTGACTCGGATTCGAATGAAAAGACCATTAATTATATAAGGAAGAGCCCATGGTTCTAGCCCATTCCCATTCCTAAATCACTAATTCAGTAGTGCTTTTGCCTTTTTTGTGTACTCTGGTGAACTAGTTGCTAGCCATATGTTTAGGAGGCTTTTTTCTCCAATACGGATACTAAGCCGCTTTGCCATCTCTTCATCTTAAATGCGTAAAGAATTCTCGACGTGAAAACACAGAGACAAAGGCCTGATCTTTGAATAGAAAAAGAATGGATTTGAAGGTCCTAAATCAATTGGCTTATTCAAAAAGCCTACTTCTTTGAAAGATATATCTCGTATGCGGTCTGTATTGTTCCACTGCGCAAGAAGTCCGAATCAGTCTCTTGCACCTCCCCCTTTTTATGATAAATATACCGAAATAATTCAATAAATAGCAGCCCTCGATAACTCATCCTCTTTAATCTGCTTGGACCCGCTCTAATACCTATAGGAAAATCCCCGATCATATTCAACAGTACAGTCCACGCAATCAAATAGATTGTACCAAGGGCCCCATATTCTAGGAGCCCAAGTTATGCTATTGAAAATTCGTTCCTCTAATCAGTTTCGGTTTAACCATTCCGTTCCCTTTTTTAAACTCCACTTCTTTTCATATAGCATCTGAAAGGTCCTAATGGCTAGAGGGGGGATGAATAGCCTATTAAAAATTTCTACAACAACACTTAGCAAACCGGTTAGACAATTATGAGGCGAAGCAAGTGTTGCGCTAGCCTACTAAAAAATGCAAGCCACCTATCATAATTCTAGTTGATATAGTTTCTATTCACACAATAGCTATGCCACTGCACTAAGTTAGTGTGCTCTCAAAGGCTAACCAAAGAGCCACACTAACCAAGCTAACAAGCTCTCACAACTAGCTACACTAAAGAGCTTGACAACTAGCTTGCGGTAATGTAAAGAGAGTGAGCAAGATAGTTATACCGCCGTGTTGAGGAGTGAACCAATCAATCACAAGAATCAATATCAATGAAGACCAATCACCTCGGAATCAAATGATGAACACAATGATTTTTTACCGAGGTTCACTTGCTTGCCGGCAAGCTACTCCTCATTGTGGCGATTCACTCACTTGGAGGTTCACGCGCTATTTGGCATCACACGCCAAACCCTCAATAGGGTGCCGCACAACCAACACAAGATGAGAATCACACAAGCCACGAGCAATCCACTAGAGTATCTTTTGGCTCTCCGCCGGAGGAAGGTCAAGAACCCCTCACAATCACCACGATCGGAGCCGGAGACAATCACCACCCTCCGCTCGACGATCCTCGCTGCTCCAAGCTGTTTAGGTGGCGGCAACCACTAAGAGTAACAAGTGAATCCCGCAGCAAAACACGAACACCAAGTGCCTCTAGATGCAAACACTCAAGCAATGCACTTGGATTCTCTCCCAATCTCACAAAGATGATGAATCAATGATGGAGATGAGTGGGAGGGCTTTGGCTAAGCTCACAAGGTTGCTATGTCAATGCAAAATGGCCAAGAGTGTGAGCTTGAACTGGTCATGGGGCTTAAATAGAGGCCCCCATGAAATAGAGCCGTTGTACCGCTTCACTGGGCACTGATCGGGGTGACCGGACGCTTCGGTCATACTGACCGGACTCTGGACCCAGCGTCTAGTCGCTCGATGTCAGCCACGTGTCACACTACGTTCAATAGGAGTCGTCTGATCTCAACGGTCATCTGTTGACCGGACGCTCCGCTACAACTGACCGGACACTGAGTCTCCAGCGTCCGGTCGTTTCCAGTAAGGTTCCAGAAACACATTTTGCCGACCGGACGCGTCCGATCATGCTTGACCGGACCTTGCCAGCGTCCGGTCAGACGCTGACTTCTGTCTGTGCTGTCTGACAACACGACCGGATGCATCCTTCCAGCGTCCGGTCGCTGAGTGACCCAGCGTCCGGTCAGGAACCGACGCTGGAGTCTTCACTGCTACACATGACCGGACACGCTGGTCCCCCAGAGGCCAGCGTCCTGTCACTATATAACCAGCGACACTTACTCCTTTTCACTTCTATCTTCTTCACCCGTGCTCAAATGTGCCAACCACCAAGTGTATCATCTTGTGCACATGTGTTAGCATATTTTCACAAACATTTTCAAGGGTGTTAGCATTCCACTAGATCCTAAATGCATATGCAATGAGTTAGAG